TCTAAGAACTTAAGAACTGTCAATCATCTCTTGCTCCCTCAGCCCTCACGGGACCAACATTCCTGGGGCACACCCTAGGTACCTATGGCGACCCAGCTTTTCTCTGAAGTTTTCTCTAACTAATCTTCATCCTGAGTCCCACTTACAACACCTCTAACCAACTGCCCCTCTAGGCAGGTCCCAATTTGTAACACCACACAGAAAAGGAGCACCCTCACCTTCTTGCTGAGGCTAAAGAGGTGAATGGCTATTTTCAGAAGGCCCAGGAGACTATAAGGACAGAAAAGACTTTATCTTCAAATAACAGGCAGAGGTTGTAAGTGGTAGACTCCAACCAGGCCCCATTTCTACATTCTAAAGCCTGAGAACAGATTTGGCAGCCTCTGCCTCAGAAGATGCCTCAACAGAACACTGGAGCATGGGTTCCCAGGATCTAACAGCCCAGTATGGCTGATAATCTTCCAGGCACTCTGGAGTACATCATAGGATTTGCCTTCCTATTGAAGCTAATATTTACATTTAAAATATGCTGAGTTGTGGGGGAAATCAATGTGGGTTTTAAAATAGCCCTTTGGATACCTGACATGTAACTAAACCAGAATTTACTATGTGTAGATTCCTGTCCCAGGTATAAGGACTTTGTCCTTGAGACTGAAGAATGATTATTAATTTACTTAACTATGTATATGTGTATGTATATACCAATCCATCTATCTACTTACTTATGGTACTAGGCATTATACTGCTGAATTACATCCCCAGCCCTTTTTATTATTTTTTTTGAGACAGGATCTCACTAAATTGTTCAGGCTGGCCTAGAACTTGTGATCTTCCTCCTCAGCCTCCCAAGCAGCTATGATTGTAGGCATGCACCACCACAGGCAGCAAGATTAAGGACTTTAAATTCTTTAACTTAATGACTTGGGGTGGGGGACTGAGGTCAAGTATTTGTATACATCTTAAAAGTTTGTATTCAAGCCTGTCATGAGGGCACACACCTGTAATCAAAGAGGCTCTAGAGGCTGAGGCAGGAGGATTGCAAATTCGAGGCCAGCCTCAGCAACTTAGCAAGGCCCTAAGCAACTTAGTGCTTCAAAATAAAAAGGGCTGGATATGTGTCTCAATGGTAAAGCCCTTATGGGTTCAATCCCTGGTACCAAAAAAAAAAAAAAAAATCATACTCAATATGACATTTACTGGGCATTGTCTATGTGGAAATCAGGCATAAGTTCCTATTTAGCCAAATGAAGGCAAGGATGTTTTATTGAGCAGCAAGTAGAAAGAAAAAGGTGGCAGGGACAGGGGCAGAGTAGCAGCACTAAATGAAGAAGAACCTTTCTGCAGGCATATGTCCACAATGGCATGTGTTCATCCTCTGTATTCCCATGGCCTTGGCGTGTGGCTGGAGAGACAGGAAAGGGCCAAGGAGTGAATGGCCTTGTATGCTGGGCTAAGGAGCCTGCATCTGATTGTGAAAGCAGTCCTGAACCAGTTAGACATGTTATGCAGAAGGGCATGCTCAAATCTGAGCTGCAGACTGGAGAGACGGGGGCAAGACTAAGGGTGGAAGGCTGGTTTGGGAGCTGATGCAATGATCTAGTGAGAGAATTCAAGCAGTGATGGTGGGAGCTGGAAAGGAGGAGCCTGAAGAGAGGCTGGGACTAGCAGGGCTAGGAGGCTGACTGGAAAGGAGCAGGAGGGGTCAATGAGGACTACCAAATCTCTGACTGGAGAATGGGTGGACAGTACTTCCTACAACCATGTAAGGGATCACGAGAAGAGAGGGAGGAGAAATCATGCTGAGCTTGATGATTCTGTGGGATACTAAGTGGAGATTTCCAATAGTAAATAGATAGATGTCTAAAACTGAGTAGAGATATGGCTTGGGAACCCTCATTTATTTCAAAACTATTTGTTCAGTGTCTCCTATGTGCTAGCACCATGAAAAAAAGTAATGAATAGAGGATGATAAACATGACTGAAAAGATCCTGCCCTCAAGAATCTTACATTTTATGCAGGCAAGATGGACCACAGCTATAATTTGGGCTTGAATGTCTCCCAAAGACCCATGTGTTGAAGCCTGGAATTCTTAGAAGAAGGTGGGGCCTAGTGGAAGTAAGTTAGGTCACTGGAGGCATGACCTTGAAGGGGATATTGGGACCCTGTCCCTTCCTCTTCCTTTTCTTCCAGAATGCAATAGATGAGGAGCTTCCTCCAACACAGGCTCTTGCTATGGTGTGTGCCACCTCCCTACAAGCCCAAAGCAATGGAGCCAATCCATCATGAACTGAAATTCCTAAATTATGAGCCAAAATAAACCTTTCCAGGCTGGGGTGGTGGCTAGGTAGTAGAGCGCTCACCTAGCAGATGTGAGGTGAGGTTTGATTCTCAGCATCGTGTATAAATAAATGAATAAAATAAAGGTCCATCAACATCTAAAAAAAAAATTTTTAAATAAACAAAATAAACCTTTCCTCTTATGAAGATGATTTATCTCAGATATTTATTACAGTGACAGAAAGCAGAAGTCCTTGACAAAAAACTTTAAAACTCTGCTGAAAGACAATCTGACTAAATGGATAGTTTTAGTCAGCTTTTTTTGTCACTATGACTAAAAACCTGACAAGCAAAATTGTAGAGGAGAAAACATTTACTTGGGGGCTCACAGTTTCAGAAGTTTCAATACATACAGGAGGCCCCACTCCTAGGGGCTAGAGGTGAGGCTAACATCGTGGTGGAAGAGTATGGGGGAGGGAAGCAGCTACATGATGATCAGAAAGCAGAGAGAGATCTCCACTTGCCAAATACAAACACATAGCCCAAAGCCACGCCTCCAATGACTCACCTCCTCCAGCCACACCCTACCTGCCTCCAGTCACCACTAGTTAACCCCATCAGGGGATTAATTCACTGATTGGGTTAAGGCTCTCACAACCCAATCATTTCCTCTCTGAAGCCTCTTGCATTTGGTGGACACCTCACATTCAAACCATAACAGATATATTATATCATGTTTGTGGTTGAATGATGCCATTGTAGAGATACCAGTCCTGCCAAAATTGATCTATGACTCAGTATAATCCCAACCAAATTTACAGCTGAAATTTTTTCCCCCAATACTAGGGATTGGACCCAGGGTGCTCTACCAGAGAGCAACACCCTTAGTCCCTTTTTTCATGTTTTATTTTTATTTAATTAATTTATTTATTTTGCAGTGCTGGGATTTAACCCATGGCCTCACACACCCTGGCCAACCTATATTCCCTTACTCCATGCTTTTTTTTTTTTTTTTTTTAATTATTTTTTATTTTGAGACCCCAGGTAGGCCTCAAACTTGCACTCCCCCTGCTTCAGCTTCCTGAGTAACTAGGATCATAGGTGTGTGCCACTGTGCTCAACCAGCTGAATGTTTTGAGAAAACAAAAAATTCATTTTTAAGTAAAAAAAAAAATGAGTGGGTGTTAAGGACCTTTATTTTTATTTATTTATTTATTTATATGCAGTGCTCAGAAATGAACCCAGTGTCTCACACTTGCTAGGCAAGCGCTCTATCACTGAGCCACAACCCCAGCCCTCATTCTAAAGTTTAGGCAAAAATCAATCAATCAATCAATCAATCAAGATTCTTAACTAGAAGGCCCAATGTTAAAGAGAACAGAGGGGACTTGCTGTATTAGACATAAGGTTTCCTGCAAGGGCCTGGTTTTAAGAAGCCATACTGTGCTACATACCTATAATTCCCATTACTTAGGAGGAGGAGGAAGAAGGATCCCAAGTTCAAGGGCAACTTAGTGAGATCCTATCTCAAAATAAAATTTAAAAAGTGCTGTAGACCTAACTCAGAGATAGAGCACTGCTGGGTTCAACCCATAGTACCAGGAGGAGTGGGGAACCATATGCAGTGGCAAGACACAAGCAAATGGATCAGTGGGGTGAAAAAGAGACCCAGGACACAGTAGATTGGGAGGCAAACATCTAACATCAAGCAATGGAATGAACTCTTTAGTTGATCATTTGGGGGGAAACTAGAAAAAGTAGACTGGCTTGAGACTACCATCTTATACCTTAATCCAGACAATGATTTAAATAAAAGAATAAAATAATAAAATAGATAATAGAAGATTTGAACACTGTTAGAATAAAAATGGAATTATTTTTATAAGGCCCTAACAATAACAATACATAAAAATTAAAGGTTAAAGAAGGAATCTTCTAGTTATGTCTGATAACAAAACTATCACAAAAGACTGGCAGAACCACAGATGGCACAAAGGCTCCTGCTACCTTGCACAGAAAAACTTCTAAAAGGACATCTGACTAGCAACTGTTTTCAGATTTGGACTGCATTATCTTTGTTACTGATTTTTGTTTTTTTTAACTGAAGGTTGAACCTAGGGCCTCTGCACATGCTAGGAAAGTACTATCTACTAATGAACTGCTTATTTTATTTTGAGACAGGGTCTCACTAAGTTAACCAGGTTGGCCTTGAACCTATAATCCTCATGTCTCAGCCCCACAAATAAGTAGGATAACAGGTATATGCCACCAGGCTTGGTTAGCAATCTTATTATTAATCCTTATGGCTGAGAGTTACTCTATCAAAATTACTGTATCAAATTTATATTTAGGGCTGGGCAGGAGGGCGGGTAAACTGGAACGGACGTTCACTCCCTTCACTCTCTCCAGGAGTTCATCCATCATCCTCGGTCAGTGAGCCTTCTGGGTCCTGCAGTGTGGCAGAGCCTACAGAAACCGGAGCCTGGATCTGTGAGTTTCTGGAAACCTTTAGGGACACTTCAAATCTACAGAGTAGAAACTATCCTGCCTCAGATCCACACGGCTAGATGGGAAGACACACAAACAAAATGAAAAAACAAGGGAATAAAGTGCTCCAAACAAACCAAGCTGCTCCCATAAGAGAATCCATCGAAGAAATGTCAGAGAAGGAGTTGAGGATGTATTAGTAAAACTGTTCTACGACTTAAAGAATTATATAAGAGAGCAGGCACAGGAGTTAAGCAGTAAAATAACAGATTCGCTTCAGGAGATGAAAGATCACTTCTGTAAAGATATATTAGAGGTCTTGAAAAGAAATAAAGAAGAAATCCTTGAAGTGAAGGAATCACTAAACCAACTTAAAAGTTCAATGGAAAGTATCACCCACAGACAAGACCATTTGGAAGATAGAACCTCAGGCAATGAAGACAAAATATATAATCTTGAAAATAAAGTTGACCCCACAAAGATGATAAATTGCGTGACATTCCCTCACCCAGACACCATGCCTGAACAGCAACTGCTAAAGCCAACCGAGTGGAGCTACTGTGACTACTTTTGGGCTGATAAGAAGGACCCCCAAGGCAATGGCACAGTGGCTGGGTTCGAACTACTGCTCCAAAAGCAACTGAAAGGCAAACAAACGCAGAAAGAAATGTCTGAATTCGTCCGAGAGAGGATAAAGATTGAAGAAGAATATGCAAAGAACTTGGCTAAGCTCTCTCAGAACTCCTTGGATGCACAGGAGGAAGGCTCCTTGGGAGAAGCCTGGGCCCAGGTGAAGAAGAGTCTGGCAGATGAAGCAGAAGTTCATCTCAAGTTCTCCGTCAAGCCTCACATCGAGGTAGAGAAGCCCCTAATGAACTTTCGTGAGAACTTCAAGAAAGACATGAAAAAGTGTGTCCACCATATCGCTGACCTTCGCAAGCAGCTCGCCAGCCGCCACACATCGGTGGAGAAGGCCCGGAAAGCCCTCACAGAGCGGCAGAGAGACCTGGAGATGAAGACCCAGCAACAGGAGATCAAGCTGAGCAACAAGACAGAGGAGGACATCAAGAAGGCCCGGAGAAAGTCCACACAGGCTGGCGATGACCTCATGCGCTGTGTGGACCTCTACAACCAGGCCCAGTCCAAGTGGTTTGAAGAGATGGTGACCACCACTTTGGAGCTGGAGTGGCTGGAGATGATCCGGCAACATCTGTGTCAGTACACACAGCTGCGGCATGAGACAGACATGTTCAACCAAAGCACAGTAGAGCCTGTGGACCAACTGCTTTGAAAAGTGGACCCGGCCAAAGACAGAGAGCTGTGGGTCAGAGAGCACAAAATTGGCAACATTCACCCTGTGGAGATGAAGATCTAGACACGCCTATGCGGCCCTGGGGGTCCTGCCCAGGAGAGGGGTTGGGGGTCCCATGGAGAGGGGATGGTGGCTCCCGCTGGGTGAAGCTGCCCTCCCACCCACTGTCCTGTCCACTGAGGAGAGAGGAGAGAGCTGGCAATTCCAGAAGGGTGATCTGGATGGCTCAGCTGGGGAATCCCAAATATTCCCAGGCCAAGAAGACAGACCTGCAACCCTGCCCTTGTCTCCAAGACTGAAGCCCCTCCAAACCCCGTGACGTGCTTGTTGCTCTGAGAACAAACTGAGGCTGGAACTTTGTGGTCCCTGCTGAGTTCCATAGGGGTGGCTGTCACATACTTGTGCCCTTGGATGCCCCAAAGCCCATCCTCCAGCTGGTCCCTTTATCTCCGGGGCTTTGGAAGATCAGGGAAGGGCTGTCTCTGCCTCTAAGCCAATGTTAAGAACAGAATCATGGATAGAAGGCGCCATCAGCTCAGCCTGCACCTAGAATCCTTTATGGCCCTTTCTCTATTTTTCTCATTGCATTCTGGGAGCCCAAATCTGGCTTTTCTTGGCCACTTTTCATTCCCATGGGTCTTGGGAAGGTCTGTTTTCTGTCTTCCCTGACCAACCCTGCCCAGAGAGGTCAGGATGGAACTACCTCATTCAGCAAATTAGCCCCAACTCAGAGCATTGAATCATGGTTCCTATCAGATCAGGCATCATCTCTGAAGTCTCTGGAAAATCCCATCCCTCCATTCCTCAGCTGCTTTCTCAAGGCAGTCCCCATCCCCACCATGCCACCCCTGCCCAGTCTCACTAGAGGGAGCTTTCCAAAGTTCTCTGCCAGTGAGACCCCCTCCAACTGTGTGCATGTCCAAAAGCTTTGAGAGATGGAGATGAGCCAGAAACCACATGGGGTCTGCTCCCATAGTGTCTTGTCCAACATGGGGCTACCCTGACCCCCGCTCTCCCAGGCTGCCCACCAAGGGCTTAATAGGGCTAGGTCAGTCTCACATGGGAGACAGGTTAAGGCAAGTCTTTGTCAGACTCCATCTGCTTATGCATGATAGGTTTTGGACTGCTGTCCCTTGTATGAGCATTGCAGACTCTCTCTCCTTGCTATCCAGGTGTGTCCTGCCACCTGGGTCTCCAGCTCCTCTGAACTTTCCAGAGCCCTGCACCGAACCCTCGCTTGGTGCCAGCACCTCCTTTCCCTCTGTCCATCTTCCCTGGAGAAGCCTGAGCCAAGTGTGACGCGGGAAGCTTTTCAGCACTACCCCTGGGTTCAGCCCGCCACTTTCTTTCTCTACTAGAGCAAACACCATCTACCCCATCTTTATCAGCCTGAGGAGGCTGGGAGAAAAAATTAACACAGTGAGCAAAGAACAGCTTCTAGACAGAAACCCCTGCTCTGAGAGCCCATCTTTCTTTATCTTTCCCACTGATGGCTTTCCGCTTGACCCTTCCGTCTCCCATGGGGGCAGAATTCTACGAGCACAATTCATGGATCTTTCCCTCCGTTTCACATTGCTCATAATGGATGTTAATCTTGAATCCTTCAGCATCTCTTCCATTGAATTAGAATGGCTTTCTCATAGTTTATTTTAGAAAGATGTTCAATATACTAAAGCAAACCAGATCTTGTCAAAAAAAAATATATCAAATTTATGTGCCCAGCACAGTGGTGAACATTTATAATCCCAGAGGTTAGGGGGGCTGAGGTAGGAGGATTCCAAGTTTAAAGCCAGCCTCAGCAACTAGCAAGGCTCTAAGTAACTTAGCAAGACCCTGTCTCTAAACAAAAAATAATAAGGGCTGGGGATTTTGGCTCAGTGGTTAAGCACCCCGGGTTCCATCCCTGGTAAAAAAAAAAAAAAAAAAAGTCTATGTAATCCTCCTCTGTTTGTCATTTGGGTTATTTGGGTTGATTTAAAAAAAAAAAAACACTGGAGCTGAGCAAGGTGGCATATGCCTGTGATCCTAGAGACTCAGGAGACTAAGGCAGAGGATCACAAGTTCAAGGACAGCCTCAGCAACTTAGGCCCTAAGCAACTTAGCAAGACCCTGTCAGAGTTATGCAAAATATAACAATGAGATACCCTGGGGCTGGGGATATAGCTCAGTTGGTAGAGTGCTTGCCTAGCATGTAAGACCCTGGGTTCAATCCCCAGCACCAAAAAAAAAAAAAAAAAAAAAAAGAAATACCCTGGTTTTACACCTGTCAGAATGATAAATATGAAAATGGTGGATGCCCAGTGATGGTAAGGATGTGGAGGACAGGAACATCTTTTCTGGAAAGCAGTCAGACAAAACACAGGTATTTATATATCTCAGAGAAATCCTAGCACTAGTCCAAGAGGGATAGACAAGGTGATTTGCCATCATTTGTGGAGGAGGGATTTACAGACAACCAGGTGCCTATAATAAGGAATAGGTAAGTGGGAGGTGTACACCATGGGAGGACAACTAGCACTGGGAAGCTACAAACCCTAGGTATTTACAGACATGGTTGGGACTTTAAAATAATATGTGTGGGGAAAAAAACCCACAATATCATTCATATAAATTTAAAACATACACAGACAAAAAGGACAACATACCGGGCCAGGAATGTAGCTTAAAATGGTAGAGAGGGTGCTGTGCATATGTGAGGACCTGGATTTGATCCCAGCACCAAAAACAAAACAAAACAAAAACCCACCATAGTTTTACCCTGACCCCTTTCCTCATTGCTCTGTATCCCTTTTCCCTGATATATACATTCCAGGAGGAATGTCCATTCCAGGAGGGTGGGGACCCTGTTCATCTCTATTACTGCTATATATCCAGCAACTAGAACAGAGCCTGAGATGCTGCTGATAGTCAATAAATATTTGTATCATGAGTAAATGAAGAACACATAGCCAACAAAAGTGAGCCTTTGAGGAAAGAAGAGGGCAAGAATGAGAAGGGGAAAATAAATAAAGGACATAAAATGATGGTATGCCATTATTGGTCCATAAAAATAATTACAAATTATTTCATCAAATTCATTATTATGGCAAATTATGCCTGGACTGGTAAGGTTTCCACCTGCCTGGCCAGCCTCCCTACTTTACTTTTCCTTGCTGCAGCCAGGAATACCCCGCCAGTTCCTAAATTACCTATCACCTCCTGCTCTTTGCAGAAGCTACCCCTTTGCCTTTATTGCTTTTTCTGGTTTTTCAAAAAGCTAGCTTCATCTGAACATTCAAGTTTCTACTTGATGTACTGATTAGCAACCAAAACCAGAAGAAACTTCTGGGAGAATGGACAAGACAGGAACCTGACTGCAGGAGCACTGAGAGGGAAATGAAAAGATCCAATGAACTCTTGTGAGTACTAGCAGGGACTATGCACTTCTGCACTGTCCGATGTCCCCAGAGCAGGCTCCCCTCACTCTATCCCTGTTCGGGATCTTACCAAGCTTTTGGCCATCTCGTTTTATGTTTCTACTTGTTGCATGTAAACCCAGGCGGAGGTCGTGACTGCTCTACCGTGTACCTGGTACCCACAGAGGAGGCGCTTCCGGACGCTGGGTTGAGCGGGGACACCCGCAGAGCCACCCAGGAGCAGTGAGTCCTGAACAGCGGAGGAGGGAGACCATCTGTCCTGGAGATGGGCTTGGGGTCTCACTGCTGCCCAGGGCGGGGCTGAACTCCTGGGGCCCTGTGAGCCTCCTGTGTGGGCCTCCTGAGTAGCCGGGACAAGTACAGGCCACCAAGCCCAGGCCCCAAACGTGAGGCCCGTGAACAGGGCTGGTGCGGCCAGAGCCGGACGGAGGGGACGAGGCCAGGCCCTGCTCCGGGGAGCTGGGAACCGGCTCGGCGCCGCAGTGCAGGGGCGGGGCGTCAGGGCACAGCCTCCCTTTAAAGCGTCCAGTACTGTCCACACGAGGCCGAGGCCCAGGCGGACGCGGTTCGGTTGCGCGGCACGTCGGGTCCTCTACCCGGTGATTCCTCCGCGGCCGGCGCCGTCCGGGGCGCTCAGTCCGAGGCAGCGCGGTCGCCGATCGCTGAGGAACCAGGGGACAGTGGGCCGCTGAGCCCGGCTCAGCTGGGGCCGGGGCTCGAACCCCATCTAGCGGCAAAGGCCGTCTTCCTTTGAGCCACTTGTGGACAAAACCGGGCTCTCCGGCGGAAGGAGCGGCTGCTTGTGCAGCCCACGGCAGGTCACCTCGGGTGGTAAACGTCACCCGACTCCTCCTGGCTCGGGAGCGGACGGGGCAGCACTAGCGCGGCCGCCTCGCCCCGCCCGGGAGCCCGCGCCGCCCACCCTCCGCCCGCCCGAAACGGCGGGAATTGCACTCAGGCGAGGACCAAGCTCGGAACTGCTGCTCCACCTTACCTCCCGGCGGTGACCAGCTTCTGGAGAAAAGTGTCCACCGTGGTGTCAAGGAGCTTCACCCGCGAAATGGTAGTGCCGGGTGATACGGCCTCGGAAGACGACCCCTCAGACCTTTTTTCCTCATCCGCAGCCAGATGGGCGCTACCGGCTTCCGCCATGTTGAAGTCGAACCGCCAAAGCGAACTGGTCCTGCCGCCCCACCCACCTGGGCCCCCGATTGGGTGCTTCCGCACGGGACGCCTCCGATTGGGCCCGGCAGAACGTCTGTCACCGAGCCGCACGGGGGCGGAGCACCTACGAAGTCAGAGGGCGGGGGAAAGCCAAGAGGGACGCAGTGCGCAGGGGAAAACACGCACAAGCCAAAGCTTAGGGGCTCGTAAAAACTTTTAATTACACTTCAAAGACATCGTACAGTGCAAAAGTGAATATTCCCTGCTGATATTCACAAGAGTTCATTGGGTCAGACGTTCACGTGTTTTCATTTCCCTCTCAGTGCTCCTGCAGTCAGGTTCCGGTCTTGCCCATTCTCTAGGAGTTTCTTCTAGTTTGGCTGCTAATCAATACACCAAATTGCCGGCTGCTTTGGTCTCCAAGTCGTAGGAAAATGGAAGTCCACGGTCTCATCCCCAGCAAAAACTGTCCTAAACCCAATCCCAGCTCCTAAACTATTAAGGGAAAGTAGGGGCCAGGGTCCCATTAATTCTCCACAACACCCTTGAAAACTGTGTGTGGGGCGGGGGACAGACAGGTGGAAGACTGAGTACCCTACAGGAGAGGAGCGGGGAGGGAGTCACACCTGAGGCAGGAGAGGACCCCCACGTCAGCACAGTGGGGAAGGTCGGAAGACCGGTTCTGAGGGAGAAGGGTGGCACTGAGAACACCATCCTCCACAGCGCTCACTGGGAAAAAACTTAAAAAAGAGAGGAGGGCCCTTGCTTCCTGTGTGGGTGGTTCTCAGGGTGAGTGATGAGCAGGAAGATTCGGAATGACCTGTGGGCCCAACCTTTAGGATGACTATTTATGAAAAGAAACTGGAAGACAAAGTGAAGGTAGGGACCAAAAAAAAAAAAAAAATTTTTTTAAATAAATAAAATGAAAAGGGGAAAATCCTTAACTAGAGACAAGACGGAACATGGTTGGAGGTGAAGGTAGTGAAATCTGGTTTTCAGAGTCTGGTATGGCCAGGGTGTAAGAAAGTGGGAAATATCAAGGCTTCAGGTAGCTAGCACCTTTCAATGGCACCGGGGCCTTCCCCAGCAGGTGGGACCATTAAATAGGTTTAAAGGATCATTCAGACCAAATGTTTCAAGTGGGAAGGCAGGGTTGACTGCCTCCTTCTCCTTCCATTCGCTGCACCTCTCCACCCAGCCCAGGCTTGGTGGAGGAGGTGGGGTGGGGAAGAATGAGGCAGGGGAGCAGGAGTGGGTCTCCTAGCTTCTGAGTGGAGCTTCAACAGATAATCTTGGCAGTATCAGGCTGGTAAATGCAGTGATCCTGGTATTAGGTGACT